TAGTGGTTTGAGCCCTGAACTTATGACTGGAAGGTTATGATTTGAATAAAAGGGTCATCTAAAGTAATAATAGTAATAATCAATAAATCATCTAAACAGACCTCATCAAATTTCTTTGTAAAATCATTCTGGATGGCCTGGCTTCACTGCTGTTTCCTAGGATGTGCAGGTGATATTTCAGACTGCTTTTATGTAAGCATATGGCTTATCTTGTCTTTGAATTTAAGCACTTGGGTTTTTTTTTTTGTTCTTTGCAGGAAATTCTTGATTTTAATGAGGCCTCTTGGACCCCCACTGTCTCCAACTCGGGGGTCCCCGGGGGGGGGGGGCAGACTTGAATCTGGAGAGAAGGGTCTGATAGCTGCGAGACAGGACCAGTCCTGGGCTTCAGCACAGACTAATTAACCAGGAGCTTGTTAGCGAGGTGGCGCAGCTGATTAAGTTCACTGGAGAATTGACAGCAGCTCGGAGCACAGTGTAGTGGGAGTGATTATTTTCAGTGCCTGTTGTGGTCACTGGGGACAGGGAGCACATCGTGCCTTCATATCCGTGCCAGAAGTCTTGTTTTGGTCTGCGGTCTGCTGCATGGTGCAAAAATGAACCTCTTTTCCGCAGTCTGGACAGGGGACACTTTTCTAGCAGTAGGGAGTCTGGCCTCTGGTGTCTGTAGGTCACTCGCGATCGGTGTACAGAACGTGTGTTCACAGATGTGTAAGGATGAGCATATGTCGGCAGAAACAACTTGTATCTTGTTTATTCTCGGCTTGTATCCCTAGGTGTTTTCAGGTCTCTTTAATGACATAGGAATTGTTCTATTTCCCGTGCTTCATTATAAATAACTATTGTACAGAAATTTTGTATCTGGCTGAGGAGCAGGTTACACACTGTATATCCTGCAAGCCTCACATCAGTCCTCACATTCTTTGAACATGTAACGGAGCTGTTCATGGGGTTATTACTTTTAAAGTGTGACTACAAACGTCAGACTTTTTTGTGTTCTTCACACCTTGATATTAGTAGCTTGTAAGGAGTGGATTAATTATCTTTGTTAGTGATTTGATAGCTAATTGGTGAAGGAATGTTTTTTTTTTTAAAGACGGGAATGTTTTTTGGGGGGATTTTGAGGTGTCCTGGGTGGTTGGGGTTTTGTTTTTAAAATTGGAATGACACCACTGTTTCAAAATCTTGTCGTGTCACTCTGCTCTCTTTTGAAGAATCCTATGGTGCCAGGAGAAGCATATTTGATCATTATTATAACTAAACTGCATCCGTATAAGGAATTAACTCCATTTCAGAGAAATGGGGAAAAAACTGGCAGTTTCTTTTTAAAATACATTTTATCCAGACTTTGCATTACCAATGATTTTTTTTTATTACTCATTCATGGAGTCGCAAATATTCCTGAGAACAAGGATTTCGCATTTTTTGGTAAGCCGTTTTTTTTTTTTTCTCCTTACTCTTGCAGACGAACAAGGGAGATGAGCTGTCAAGCCGGATACAGAGCATGCTGGGTAATTACGAAGAGGTGACGGAGCTGATTGACAACCACGCCCATCAGGACTTCATTGGCATTCCTAAAAGCACTGCCTCCACCCCGGCCAAGGAGAAGCCCGGCCGGCCTCTGCACACGGACAAAACGCAACCCCCCTCGCATCACCCTCCCAGGCCCGGGGTGCCTCCGCCTCACCCCTCCCCCGGTAGCAGCTGCTCCTCTCAGCAATCTAGGCAGCCACCCCTCCCCGAGCACAGCCAGAAACCCCCGGGCTCTGGTTCCTCGTCTCTGCGGCTCGGCCAAGCCCCCGACTGCCACCAGAGGGGGGGCGACGCCTGGTCCGACCTGGACGACGGCGCCGACCTGCCCGCCTTGCTGCCGGCTCTGTCCCCTCCGGCGGAGCCGCTCTCGCCCTTACATTCCAGCGAGCCCAGCGATGGGGAGCCCCTGGACGCGGAAGACGAGGGCCGCCCCGAGCCCCGCGGTCAAGGGGAGGGCGGGCCGGCGGAAACCGCCAGGAAGGACATTCCGTCAGCCGCCGCCAACGACGCCGCTGCCGCCGTCCCGCTGCCCTCCCAGACCTTCCCCCCGCCGCTGCCCTCCAAAACGAGCCTGGCGATGCCGCAGAAGCCCACCGCCTACGTCAGGCCGATGGATGGGCAAGACCAAGCGCCCAGCGAGTCTCCGGACCTGAAACCTTCCCCCGACGACTTCCACGGGCAGTCTTACGGGAACTTCTCGGATCTAAAGATGGCCGCCAAGGCCAAGCTGTCCAGCCTGAAAATTCCTTCCCAGCCCGCGGAGGTAAGCGCCTCGTTTCGCTTCTCCACGTCTCATTTACAGGCGCTTCAGCCTGAACGCTGGCGACCCTCACGGCGTGAGACTTCGTGGCTTATAGGCTAAGGCACAGTCCACTTTGAAGTGTGTGAGAAAGTAAAAGGAAAAGTAAGCTCGTCCCGCCACACGGCGTTCTTGCTTCCAGCGCATGGTGTGCCAAGTTGTTGGGCAAGACAATCTGCTGCTTTTGTCTGTGGGTGAATACAGCATCGGCGTTTAGCATACTTTCTGGCTTTGGCTGTACCCATGAAGACAAGTACAAAAGAAAACTCTGGCTATTATAATTCAATCAAATTTACAGTTGGAAGGAAAACAGAATCTTTCTGTAGCAGGCGTACTGACATTTCGTCATAGTGACATGGCAAGGGTAAATTCATTATGCTGATTATTTGTGTTCGATAGGGTTGATCAGCTGGGGGATATTCTCTGAAAGTCACAAGCTGGTAGCGTGTGTGGACTTGCAAAGTATGCATGGCACACGTGCAACATTTTGCAGATGCTATCTTGTGGGATTCTGTACCATTACTTTCATAGATCCAGGACAAACACGCCCCTGTTCAGTGGTCTCCGAGCCCTAAAATGCC